TGGAAAACTGTCTGCAACTGAATCATGGTCTAGCCACTGCTCTTCTTTGATTCTGAAGGGATTAGAGAGTAGTTTGAGGCCTTCCTGGCTTCTTTGTTTTGAATCGTAGCAAGAGAACTTTAAATGTAATTCCTCGTTGGTTTGAGATGAATGCAAATGTGGTGTGTGAAGTCTCACTTTCGGTTCCTCTGCCGTGTTGTTCCCAGCAGGTACTTCCTGTAGTGCAGCTGTGATGGTTCAGAGTTACAAACCTTACTTCTGAAAACGGCTCCTTGGTCCTGGCTTACGTTTATCTTAACTCTTTTCTTGCCTTGTGAGTCCTCGGGGTGCAAATCATGATCATCTGTCTTGATCAGTCTTCTCTTGCCTTTAAGGAGCGTTCACATAACTGTTGAATCTTTGGGAAATCCAGTTAACGTCATAAGTGGAGAAAATGTTGAAGCAATGTTTGTGATTATCTGATCTGAGACAAATATCACTACATGGACTTTGAATTTTAAAATAAATAGTATCTGCAGGAGATGTTGCCTGGGGGGTTTCATTGGAAAAACTAGACTACTTTTTTTTTTTTTTCCCCTGCCTCACTAAAATGTGAGGCTGTCAAAATTAAATGTGTTGTGAGAAGGCTTTTTCTTTTAAAAAAGATTCATTCTCCATAGCCTTATCTGAAACTTGTACAAGGACACTTGCTTTCTATTTACAGATTCTGTATGCACAGTGTAGCTCAGGACTGCGGGAAAATACTGTGTAGCTGTTTCTCCAGTACCTCTTCTCTGGCAGATTAGTACAATTTTGGTGGTAAGCCAGAGGTGAAAAGTTAGCAATTTTGATAGGATTTTGCATTACTCTACTTTCTTGCTATCTTCAAATCATTTGCTTGCTGCTCTTTTGTTTTGAAATGAATAATGTATGACTGGGAAACACAGGGTACCTGGTTATTACAGCAGGCTTTTTTTTAATGAGCATTTAAAAAATGAGGGAGGGAGGAATTTATATTAAACACTTGACTCTTTATTCAGATTTACTTTCTGAAGACTCCTCTTCTCCCTTGAACAGACAAGGTTTTTAGTTTATTTTGACGTATTTTTTTTCCTTGGGCGGTAACCACCGATAACTGATTAGTTTGCATGTAGAACATTGTTTTTTTGCTCTTTAAGTAGAGTTTTGAGATTGAAACAAAGTGTGAAGGAGCATTAACATAGGTCACATAGACGTGTGGCCACAATAAGAGCCAAGCAGCTAAACCAGAGGCATTGTCACCTGCCTGATGCTTAGTTTTGCCTAAGGAATGACCACAGTCCAGTCACTTTATTTCTGTGCTTCTGTTTATTCATCTGTAACTCAAGGATAATTAATAATTCCTTCTTTTGTTTGCCCTATGTCATTGTACATGGGATAGCTATTGTAATTCCCAAAAGAATGGAAACAGCAGCATTTTTAACTTTTCCAGTGGCTGAATCACTGTAAATGCATTCCTTTTGGAATTAAGTTTAAAACAAGATGGTTCTTTCATAACTCCTGTCAGCCCTTATGATAGCTTTTTGGCAAAGAAGTTCAAAGATCTTCCATCTTATACTTCAGAACTGGGGAGGAAGAAATCTACTTTTGTGAAATGGTATGCTGTTTCTTAACTGTGTAATATTGTTGTAGGCTTTTAAATCTATTATTAAACGACTCCCCTCCTTGCAGGAAAAAAAAAAAAAAGTACTTTAGATGGCTCTAGAATTCTTTGAGGATTTACAATACCACAGGACCTAAGAAAAGTAATGACTAAAAGTAATGTAATTTCTAGATGCTGTCTTGGGCAGAGGAGAATGATGTGTATTTTTGCTAATAAAAGCATTTTCTGTACAACATAAAACTACCAATTTCTAAGCAAAACTGTGTCTTAAGTCTCTAGAAAAATATTTTGGAGCAACCTTTTTCTAATTCTGATGGAATTAAGGAAATAACTACTTGTCTGCAACTTGGTTTAAAAACAACTGATGATATTCTGACAAGTATTGCTGCTGGCAACCAGTTATCATCAAAAAAGGTACGTTCTATGTCTGCCTTATCTTCGAGGTAGAGCTCAAGTCACCATAAATTTTATTTTGTTGGTGGCAGCATATTACTCCCAAAATATTGCTTTATTGCACAAAATACTGCACTGGGACCGTGATGAGCTCTAAAAATCTATATTTAATTAAAAGCTACTAGCATAGGTTTATAGTGATCTGTAACTTTTCCATGAGCTGTTATATTTATGACAGTGAATGAAGCAAAATAAAAAAGTATATTATTGTTAAGCAATTATGTTCTACTTCCTATTTTTAAAAAGGGAGGGGTGGGCATGATGTCCTGTAACAATATCAGGAGGGACAAGTTGTTTCTTAGCGGCTCTTAAGAGATCCTAATAATCTGCACCTTCTCAATTTGAAGACTTGAAAGGTGGGAGGGCGACAAACTTCCTGCGCGTCATTTCAGTGCGTACAGCAGCTAATAAGCAACTGCTGATC